ATGTTGATATGTACAGATACATATATATGTATATATATATATATATTTTTTTTATATGTATAGTTTAAATTTTTCAAAATTTTTCTTATTACGTATAAAATTATAAACACAATTAATCTTAAATTCTGATACAGATTATAAATCATTTAAAAAGCGATTTTATGTTCTGTAATAGATACAAAAAACTTTGACTCAGGATCATATTAAATATATGAGACTACACGTGTATATGTATTAATACACGTGCAAAATTAAAAATAGGATTCTATCCTGAATTTTAACACGAATTAAAATGGTCTGATACATAAGCTCATCTAAAATGGTTTGATACATAAGCAAGCTTTCTCCAGATGATTTTAACACGAGCTTCTACAATAAAAATTCCATACTCTGAATAAACCAGTTAGTATATCAAAAAATATCAAAATTCAAACAATCTCGTTAATTTTTTTTCAATGGATCTCATCTGGAAATCCGACACAAGATCGAAACTTCCAATAGTGCGAACTTAGATCATTATCATCTATTTATTCACATCGATCGAGTTTCTTTGTGTATTGCATATGAACGTTCGTATCAGTTGTCTGCTTTCACGAAAGCGATAAGGCATGTTGCATTAAGATAATCATTTTCAAACAAAAACGTATTTTATCATCAGAGTATTTGTCAAACAATATTCGACCTTTACAATGAATCAACTAACATAAACTCGATCGTTACTTCAGCTAATGTTTTACTTTATACTAACGTAAATACTGTAATATTTTCATTCTACTATATTTCATAATTCACGCGAACAGACTAACAGAGCTTATAAATAGCTGCGCTTCTTTGTTACATTTTCGAAGTAAAACCTTTATTCAAAACAGCTGAGCTCAGTATATATAATCATCTCATTGATATAATTCCGACCAGAAATTGTATGAAAAATGTTTTTTTAATTTATCGTAATTAAATACCTAAGATACATAAAAAACATAACAGTAAACAAGTTCAAACAATATTTAAAAAATACGTGAACTCAATGTATAATAATCTCGTCAAGAAAATTTGACCAAAAATATAGTATAAGGAATATTTATTAATTTATTGTAACACTCAAGACATATAATAATATAATTGCAGGCAAATTGAAACAACAGATTTTTAAATTATGAGTATATAGCTACTAATTTTTGAAGTGTCTTCCTTTGTAATTATTTGGTACCAAGAATCTTCTCACGTAAAGAGCAGTGCTATCAGTATTTTAATACTAAAAAGTACCTGAAATATATAATTATCTGAGTAACATGATATTACAAGGATATCCGGTTTAATTCGAAGTAGCCAGGAAACTAAAGAACTGAGATACCAAGAAATTCGAACAATTATGCAAAATAAAATAGTATAATCTTCATTGTTTCACGCAGAATTATCACAAAGAATAGTGTTTTAGAACATTTTTACTATATGCGTGGACAAATATAATCAATTCGAAAAATTCGAGTCTTAGGCCCAGTTTCACAACTCACGATTAACTCTTAACCGAGGCTTAATTTATTCCTCATCTGTTTCTAATGCCAGAATTGAAAAGAGATGAGAAATAAGTTGAACCTCAATTAAAAGTTAACCGTGAGTTGTGAAACTGTGCCTTAATGCACGAATATTAACTGTCAGAACATTAGACTGCTACGAGATGTATTACTTCCGAAAAAGCAAATCTCTAACAAATATGTTAATTTCTAAAGGCTATCTAATCTAAATCTTGCCGTTAATTATCATGTCGAGCACGATAGCTAGTATAACGTTGGTGATAACCGAAATGCTCGTGATCTCACATCACTATTGTATTCAGAGTGTGCAAAATAACATTCATTATCAGTGAAATGTTATACATAATATTGACTTCCGGCAATAGTAAACAGCAATGATAATAAACTAGGTGAATCACCAGAAATAAAATACTTGCACAAGCATCTTGAGAAAATGCGTTGAACGCAATTTCTATTCTTTACGTATCTCTTCTTAAAATGTAGAAGAGACATTAGAGCGTCTTGTTTCTAGTGATCGTGTACTGATATCGAATATTCAAGGAATGATGAACATTTAAAGATACGATGCAGACAAAAATATAAGCATAGCAAGATATTAGCAATAAGTAAATCAATATTTTGGGGATTTGTTACGTTATCTTACGTTCTCTACCGTGATTAGTTGATTCGCTTAGAATCTATTCAAACAAACTTGCATAAATGTATGAATAAAGCAAATTATTTAATCGCAATTTTGAATGTAACATGCGTTCTTGTAATAAAAATACGATTGGATAATTTTCTTTATGCATATAATCGCAGCTATAATGCAAGATTATCTGAATCCTAAAGCTCGATCTACAATGTGCTCTCCGTTTTTTTTACCTTTTACTATTTTTATTTTTTGCCTTTTTACTTCTTTATCCTATTTTTGTTTTCTATCGCCCGATATAAAAGATAAACTTCAAAAAAGTTAAAAAACATGATCATTACAAAAAGTAAAAAAATAAATGACAACAGAAAGGAAAGAACGCATTGTAGATCAGGCTTTACTGCCTTACATTTTTCTGTATACCATGGTCTTTACGATCGAGAATTTTTCACCATATTTCCCTTTATTTGCGCGAGACAAAAAGTAAAAGTTTTTATGACTTTTATTTTTTTATCCAGCGCAAAGAAAAATTGATAAAAAAACATTTGATTGTATTAACAAGAAACGTGCAACTATCGTCGCGTTACTTCTTTAGAAAGAAATTTACTATGAAAATATTGGAAAAAAAAGGAATGTCGAAAAATATTTATATGACACGAACAGATATTGTGGTAAGAAAGTAGCATAATATTAAGCTTTCTACGCTAGATTTTTTAGCGACACGATAAGAGTTCTACGACCGTTTAGATTTTACAATCGCCACCCTCGACAAAAGTTCGCTGTCTGTCTGTTGCAATATTTCATGAACATTGAATAACGTTTTGATTTGTCTCTAACGAAGAAACTTATGGACTTTATTCGCGTGGAATAAAGTCCAGTCGTAAGTTGATAAATAATGTGTATAGAATGTTTTATAAGAATAATTCCGTTCAATTTCTTTGGAATATTGAAGTAATTAATAAACAAATATTAAATAATAAACAAAATTAGCTTTCTCGAATAGCTTAAAAATGAGTTAATTTATTTTGTTTTATTCTAATCTTCTTTTTTAACATTTAATCTTTTCTCTAAGAGCAGACCAATATCTTATACTTCAATTTGTCAGAAGATTTTATCAGTTATAACTTAACAATGTAACTTAATATTTATTAACGCGTAATTAATTTATCCAGAGAGATTATCAAAAGATTAAGATTTAAAAGGATTGTGAAAGAACTAAGCATGCTTCACGTTATTGTTTAACTTTCGTGTTATCGATCTTTTCGTTCGGCGTTGCATAGCCGTACGTGGAATTTACGGTGCAGTGTAGCTTATACAGCTCAAGCAGTGATGTAAAGTAGCTCTATTTTCAGTACACTCGCTATACATGTATTCTTTGCGCGAAATATCTTACCATTACGTACAAATACGGTCACTTTGCAACGTATCTAAATATAAGTAGGTACCTAGCTACTTTTGTGTATGATTTCAGAGTATACATAGTGCCATATGTGATATACCAAAAAGATACAAAATGTTCAAGTTAAAATTAAAACGCTCAAGAATACATTATAAAAACGTATTTAGGCAAAATACATTAAACGATACATTAAATGTATCATACATTACAAGAAATGAACATTATAAAAATTAAATTTCGAATTTTTCAATACGCAGTCTCGAGTTTGCAAAGCATACATTGTATCCTGAGCAAGATGTTGAAATGCTATTTTAAATACAATGTAAGTGCAATAATTCGGAAGCGTGCCAATTTTTATACGTGCACAAGAGGCAATTGGTTATCACACCTGTGCGGTGTTCCGGAATTCAAAAAGGGTAGCCAAAAATTAAATCATTCAGTTTTCCTTGAGACACTATAATCAAATTAAATCTACTACATTATTATCATTAAATATTTCGTCATTAAAAAAATATTCTCGAATATTCTTTTATGTTTTAAATCGCTTTATATTGTTGTTTTGTATCTCAGTATCCTATCTATATCGTGCACGAAATAATGTTTTAATTAAAACTTTAAGATAATTTCGAAATATTTTAATAAAGTTAAACAATTTTATGCATATACGTTTTATAGCAAATATTTATAATATAACGTTTATATATGATTATTGTAACACTCTTTTTATAAAAAAAAAATGTACGTAAGTTTTATAATAAATAATAATGTAAAACACTAAAAATATTAAATACACAGAAAATGAAGCTAAATCAATCTTTAAAACAAATTTAAAAAAAACCATCTTAAAATCTGCAAAACTGCTTTCTAACAATTTGCCCAGCGATAACCTGAATAGTTTAACAATTAAAACTTTAGAAAACTTAAAAAGATAACATCTATTAGCTTCGCCGTTCGATATCTTTTACTTTCATATCTTCCGTTTAAAATAAATAAAAAACTAAGTAACTACTTTTCGCTCAAAAAAACTAAATGACTGAATAACTTTCTACACTCGGAGTAATAGAGATTTAAAACAAGATTCTTATGACTTCTCTCTCAATCTTTCTTTCCTCAAAAATACACGAGCGAACACAATCGAGCGGCGATAAACTGGTAAACAGGGTGAATATTGCGTCAGCCATTTGTCCGTACGATACGCGACAATAACAACTATAATCCCACGTTTCCTTCCCCCTGATTTGCTTCAGAGGCTCGAAGGAGAGAAAAAAAAAAGAAAAGAACTTGACCGAGGATGCTGCCCGCTCGATAACGCTCATCGACGCGGAAGGCGGAAGGCACCACGTGCTGCCGCAATGTGACAGCCGCCATTTTCTCGAGCGCCCTCGCGCATGCACGAAGCGGGCTGCGGGGCAGCGGCGCGTGACTCACTCACACTTACCTGCAAATCGGATCTTGATTAGGTCCAGCGGGTGCAGCATCAGGGTCGAGACGACGCCGCCCGAGATGCCCGCGACAAAGTACTCGTACTTGAAATTACTCAGGACGTTCTGGCGGGGGGCGCCCGGCGTGCCGCTGCCCTTGATCGCCGTCATTTTGAGCGGTACGCTATCGCCGTGCCGCCGCTCCTCACCGTTCGTTACCGATCCGTGATTGGCGATGCCCGATTCCGCATTCTTGCCAGCGCTAGCAACGCGAGCCTCCACTCTGCGACATATCTCTTGGTCCGCGGGAGGCACTGTCGTCGAGCTGTCGTAGCGTCACTCGTCGCCGAAATTACCCGCCTCTCTCGCGCTTTCTCCTTTCGCTCGCTCGCTCGCTCGCTCGCCCCCGCGATCACAGCTGGTTACCGTCAATTATGCAACACCGTTCAGCTACACTCTACCACGCACGCCGAACGCCGCCATACTGGGCCAATGCGAACGGCCGAAACGGCGCTCGGCCGCTCGCCGCTCCGCGAGCGGATGGAGAAGGGGAGCGGGACGGGAAGGCGAATCTATCGCGCACGCGCTAATACTAGTAGGTCTGTTCTCTTCGGCTGAATTTCTTGTACTGTTCATTCTTCCTCCTTTTCTTTTCACATTGGAGAGAAAAGGAGGAAGACTGAATAGTGCAAGAAATTCAGCTGAAGAGAACAGATAAAGCTCTCAGCTGAGTGAGCTGAGTGCGCGTACGCGGGATTTTCAATACCTAAAGCGGCTCGTAGACGTTCAATATTATTGTACAATTGTTTTATACAATATTATCGATGCCTTCTTTAAATAATTCAAAATAAATAGTATGGAAATCCAATACAGCCTCTAGATGATTGATAATGTCTGCGTTCAGCAGAGAAAACAGCTCTCCCCCGGGAAAAAATATATTTTATATATATATAAATATTTTATAATTATATAAAATTATATAAAACTATGTATAATT